TTATTTCATTGTTCCCATTTTATTTTGAAAAGGAAACTCCAAAGAACAAACCGTACACGGGTTGAGTCGTCATCATTTGTGTTTTCTTTTCTTTTCTCACATCAAGTTAATCAAAAGTTAAACACAGAGTATGTTTTTCCATCTTTATGGGGACTTTGCATTGACTTCCATTCATTTTCCAGTCATATTTATATAGTCTGACTCTTTGTCTAAACTCACACCCCCCATTAATGCACAGCAGAGTTCTGACCCTAACCCCACAAGCCAAAAACAGCATTTGAACTTATGGGGCCCAGGCTTTGGGCCTCATAAGGAGAAGTGGGTCCTCACAAGGTAGCATATTTTGGAAAAATGGGTAACCCTAACCCCGCCCCTCGCACTGTGACTGCTGGATATGGGCAACAGTGACCCCCGTGACCCTAGAAGAGGAATAAAAGGGTATAGATAATGGATGGATGGATAGATGGATAAATGGATGGGTAACACATGCTGGAACACACACACACATACACGTACACACACGTACACACACAGAAAGATGGGCATAACCATTATAGCCTCACCTTCACCTTCAGTGGCAGGCAATATTAAGGGTCACAAAGTCTGTATGTTCTGCTGTTCAGCTCATACGGCTCTAAATATAATTATTTTCAACCTTAATCAATAAACTACAATAGAGGCAGCTTGAATCTCAACATCAATAYACCAATACAGTATAACAAAAAACATCACAACAACAAGAACACACTTTTATGACTACAACAAAACACATTCAGACGTTTTAACCTTCTGTATTTCAGTGTTTGAGAAGGTTTCAATCATGATCCGCTTCCACTTGGAGAAGTTCACCTGTCTGCTTCACTCGCAGCAGAGCATTCATCCAATCATCTGCTTCGTACTTTTGAACCAGAAGGTTCTTTGTGATAAATCACATCGACACTTCAGGTGGCTCCAACAGCATAAAGAGACACAAACTTTTTAATGAGGAGGACCTGGTTCTGTTCCAGTGTGATCGTTTTCAGGAAGGTTAACAGAAAAAAAGTTCTGCACTGAAGTAAAGAAAAGTAAAAAGTTTGAGCAGCACGAATGCGGTGTTAGAAACAAAAGCCTAAATTGAAAAAGTAAAATGGCTTCTCTTTAAATTCATAAGTCTGTGACCTTTTCCCAAAGGGCAGCGGTGTCATCACCGGCTGCCGCTCGACATGTAATCCTGGTAAAAGGCAAAGGAGGTTTTTTATTCTACAGCACTGTCAAGAATTCCTTACAACGGCATTTGTCAGGGTTTTTATTTCTGTTTGAAGTTTTCTGTCATCCTACACTCTAATAAGCTTTTTTTCCTCCTAATGTTGAGACTGTTTTTCTTTTGTTCCTCCTGCTTGTTTTGCTTCCTGCCCTTTAGTTGTGCTTTTTTTTTTCTTCCTCTGATTTTCGTCATCCCTCCCTTTTGTTACTACTGCTGTGTATTATATTCATTATTTCCTTTGGATTTTGTTTCTTTGTATGAGTCTTTGCAGACATCCTGCCTGCAGAGTTTTCCTTAGGTTAAGTATTTCAGCAGCAATAAGTTGTGATCGAACGTACGAGACTACATTAAGTTTAATAAAAATCCCAATTGGGTTGCATCACAACTATGAGGAAACTAGTTCCTAAAGTCATTTCTTGCTTTACTGACAAATTGTAATCTGGATTTTAAAACTTTGTTGTTGTTGTTTTTTATTAATAAAAACTAGGGGTGTCCCGATACCGATACCAGTATCTGTATCGGGTCCGATACCAGCATCAAGTACTCATACTCGTACTCGCAAAAGCCAGCCGATACTCTTAACCGATATCGCTTTTGTCCCCTCCTGGGCTGCGCTGCAGCACAAAGAGTAACCAACAATCCATACCAGGCGGGGGCGCTAATGCACTGACAAGTTATTTCCGACCGCACCCCCGAATAACAGAAGAAGAAGGATGAGGAGAAGAAGAAGAAGTAACGTCGGCCGTTTGGAGATATTTTAAGATCGGCACGGAGGACACAAGTTGAACAGATAATCAACACGAACCCCGCTACTTGGTATCGGCATCGGTGAGTACCTAAACTGAAGTACTCGTACTTATACTCAGTCTTGAAAAAACTGGTATCGGGACACCCCTAATAAAAACAGTGTTTAATAGAATATGTGTACTGCTGTATTGGTACATTAAGTTATAAAACAGAAACTGAATTATGGATTTGTACTAACAGATTTTTTCTTGCATAGGAACATGTAAACTACCTGGCCATCTTTACAATTACTGAAGGAGCCTGGTCAGTGTTTGGCTTCACCCCCATCCAGTCCCCCAACCCCTGGCCTCTACTCACTCAGCAGCTGGCAGCGCAGGACCTGCAGACTTGTCTTCATGGTATCATGTGATCCGGCTCCTCCTCCACAGTGCTCATGGTTCTCTGCAGGGAAAAAAAAAGAAAAAAGAAAGAGAGCGAGAGATAAGAGGAAACTTTCAGGTCATGAAGCTCTGTCGTCATGTCTGCACAGGTTTTTAGCAGAACAAACAGAAAAAGAAAAGCCTCAAAACAAGTAAAATGAACTGTACAAAGTTTTATTTAAAAATGTAGAACTGTGGAATCAAAGGGCTTCAAATCTGAACCAAAAGCTTTGTAGGTGTTTTGGAACAGCCGATACATTTCTGTCAGGAAGTACTGATGGCTGTTCTTTCAGTTTTAGCCTTCTGCTAAATAAAGACCCCCCCAAAACCCCCCTATTCACACCAGAAAAGAAAGACATAATCTGCAATTTGCTTCTCTTTATGAAAAAACATCTGGGAAATACACATTATTCCAAAAGACAAAAAAAATACTTACAAGAAATATATATTTATTAGGGGTGCAACAATACATGTACCCGTATCGAACCGTATCGAACAATATAGATTTTAAAAATTTACTTTATCAACTTGTCTTCTGAAGATGCTCTGTGTTAAAGGATCAGTGGATCTGTGTTCGACTACTCCACCTAGGCTGCATTTTTGAGTGCAGGTCCACTGAGAAACTTGCTGTTTCAGCAACATTTAATCAAAAAACTGTACTTTTGAGGTTAAACAAATGTTCGTAATTAATATAAATAAATTACAAGTTAAAAGGGTCATGGAAATTTCTTTTTTTGTATCGAAAAATATCGAACCGTGAGACTAAAGTACCGAACCGAACCGTGAATTTCCTGTATCGTTGCACCCCTAATATTTCTATACATAACTCCATCTATATAAATGAGTATGTGTGTGCATAATCTGCTGAGAATGCTACAGAATAAGATTTACTCCCTCTAGATTAGGAGATCAGCCCATCTTTTCAGAGTGAGATGTGTGAGGTTGGACTACAGAAGCTCAAAGTACAGATCTTTTCATTAGACTTTCTTTTCACACCATGTTCAGAAACCATCAATGTGTTTACTTTTAATGACTGCAAAGAAAGCAAGAAAGAAAAGTGTCTGCAAGCACAGCCTGTTTGCTAATAGTTGAAAATAATTCTTCAAATTAAAGARCCGAAACAAAATACAGAAAAAAACCACAAACTGCTTCTTACAACACAAGATAACACAAAATACAATAAAAGCAAAATGACATTTTACAAACACAAAAGTTTCCATAACGAATGTTGAAATCTGCTGCAGAGGTTTGTCTCCTGATTTATAATTGTCTCTTGGTTCAATTTTTAACTGCTCCTATTAAAGTTTCTGCTTCAGAATTATGTTTTAGCAAAAATAACATTAAAAAAGGAATTAGAAATTAATCAATTATAAATCCACCACTTGAAAGCAGTTGGGAAACAACATTTTTCCAGTAAAAAACAAACAATATAAAGCATAATTATAAAAGACAATAAATGGCGACTTTTAAGAGTCACAATATAAATATATTAACTCCACTTCCGACTGTGTCCTGAACCTCTTGTGTCTAGTCTGAACATAATCTGAGTCAAGCTGTAGGACCCCTGAAAAAAGTCCACACAGATGCTGCTTGGTCAAACATAAATAAACAATAAACTGCTGGAAATAATCTGAAGAGTTTTAAGTTTTTTGTTTGACTTTACGCCGTTATTCCAGTAGAAAGATTACATTCCTCTTGCCAGAAACCAGAACAGACGTTCTAAAGCTACCTGCTGTTGCTACTATTTATGCTCACAAAAAACACTAACCTATGCAAAACTAACAGAGGTGCAAAGGTTGTTGTTTTATTTGGTTCACATTCATATTGAAAGATTAAAGGAAACGAGCAGCACCGTTGTGAATCTTTCAGAAAATAAAGAAAAGCTGGCAGTTGACCCCACACTATTCATGCACCCAAACATAGTTTCCTCATTTCAAGTCCACAAAATCATGTAAAACTTAAAAAACAAAAGCTGCTTCTACAGGAAGTACAGTCAGAAATGCAGCTGAGTGGTTTTGGACACAAGTGATGTCACACAGGCTCGGCCTCCTGCAGGAGCTCTGAATTTTCATGGATTTTGTAGAAAATGGCATGCATTTACAAAAATATTTAGAAATATGATGAATATTCATACTGAATATAACTTTATCAAAATTATAGTTATTTGACAAACTAAAGTAGCCTTCATTTTACCTTTAATTATTTGTTTCTTTTTTTGTCACCAGTAGAAAACGAAACTAAATATTAGTTTATTTAGTTTATTTCTTCATCATCACTGACTTTTTTAAGTGAAGAGAAATAGAGACAGAGAGAAAAACAGAGAGAGAAGTGATTAGAAAGATAGAAAGATTGAAATAGCGATTAGAAGTATATTAAATATACACCATCAAAACACAGGACCACACACCCAACATCTGTCCGCTCACCTGAAAAATAAATGGATATATATATGGAGGGCATATATAAAAATATACGCATACCCATACATATATAAAGATATACATACATACATGCCTACATTCATAAATATTGTCTGTATATACACATAGACATATATATACACATTCAGTGACCAGTCAGAACCCCCCGGATCAGAGCACCTGTCTGTGAGCGGTTGTGAACATGTGTGTATATACAAGATTTCTCCAATAGAATATTTAATAGTGACTGTGGAGGACTGAGACCCAACCCCGCAAGACACGAGGCAGACATAAGGAAGACCAGAGCCCAAGGGCCCGAGAGGGATCCCGAGCGCAGAGCCCCAAGGGGCACCCGCACGGGAAGATCTGCCCACCCATCCCCCAGATCAGACCATAGGGGAGAACTGGGAGAGTCCCCCCAGCGACCACACGCACAGCCCCCGGGGCCAGCAGCGACAAACTCATGAGCCCCACCAGCACCCACCATACCAGAGCAGATCCAGGAAAGGGCACAGAGGTCCGGGACCCCAGGGCGCACCCCCTCCAGGCCAAAACATGACAGGTCCAGAGGCCCCGAGCCCCAGCAGGCAGTCACCAGGCCAGGCCGGCACACACCCCAGCGCCCAGCCCCAGACCCCGGGAACCCCCAGCACGCCGGCGGCCAGCCGCACACCCCACCGGGGGGCCGAGTAGCAGCGGGCCCGCAGATAAACCAGCAGTAGGGGCAGTCCAGACCGCAGCCTGACAAATACCCTAACATACACAATCGCACCATCCCATCCTCATCCTCACTCCCACTCAATCAAAGACATACAAGGATGCCACATTCCACTCATACCCCCGATACACACTCCATACCCCCCAGGTCCAGGACATGCACCCACCCCTTATTGGAGGCAGCACACACCCGAACCCAGGAGGTAGACCCAATCATTCTGAGGTGGAGAGGAGCAGATAGCCAAGGCCCGGCTCGGGCCACACCAGGACACCCAGCCAGCCCCCCGCCGCAGAGAAGCCACACCCATGACCACACCACACCGCCAACGACCAAGTGCACCCCCCCAGCCGTCCACCCCCCGGAACCCGGCAGCCACCCCGGCCAGGGGCCCACCACCAGGAACCAAGAGCCACACCTCAGGAGACCAAGCAGCACCAGGGAGGACGGAGAGCCAGCCCCGCCCCGGCAACCATCCAAGCCCCGAGCCCACCCACAGCCCAGGACTGCCCCTGGCGGTCCGCCCTTCTTCAGGACCCCCTCCCCAAATGGCAGTCGGGGAACGGGAGGGGAATTAGGACCCTGAAACCCACCCCCCCACCCCCAGATGTACTGTTGGTACGTGTTGTTCTATAGAGTAATTAAAAAGGGAAAGAAGAAGAGGCAGAGGCCGGCGTGGTGCCAGTTTCCCCTCCACCACTACTCTAACCCAAAACCCTACGTGTCTATTTGTCTATTTTACCTTTAATTATTGATGAACTGCAGGATTATTAAAAGTTAGTTACATTAGTTACCTTAGTTCAAAAGCTCTCTAACCTTTAATACATGTCTAACACGTGGTGTAAAAATACATTTATGCGAACATTTACAAACATATTTACACAGTATAAATAATTAGATATTAAAAACTAAACTGTGAGTTTGTCTATGGATAAAGCATTACTAAATGTGTTAATTTACAGCTTATTAAGAATGAATCATCCTTAATTGATGATTTTTTCAAGGTTAACTAACCATTTATTAATGATTAAGTAAGGCTAAATTAGGTGTAGTTATCATAAAGTGTTCCCAGGCAGATGGAGTTCATGAGTATTTTTATACTTTGAAAAAGCTTCATGCAGGAAGTGAAACATAAGGACTAGCGTGTAAAGATGCCCAGGTTCCTCCTCAGCCAAATCCAGCACAATCACAATCCCTGCAACACAAATCTAACCAAATGTGTGTGGAATTAGGTTAAAAAAACTGCAGTGAAAACTATTTGTCTATTTGTCTCAACCCTTGTTGTAATACTCTAAATGAAAACGAAAACAAATTGAAGATTCACTTTCCAAATGTTGCCGTATTTTTCAACCAGACAGGGGGAAAAAAAGTTGCATGGCAACTGGCATGCACACAGACGACACCAATCGCCATGGCAACCCTAATGGTACATCACAGTAACTTCAGATTCATTCACAAGGACATTCTGGGGCTCAAACAGAACTGTGGGGGAAAAATAAAAACAATTAATAAAAGGAGATGAATGAATAAGAAATCCCGTCAGACGGAGTCACATGTTTTGTGTTTGAGCCTCTGCTGACAGGTCCTGGTCCTTGTAGCTCATGGACCACTGTTCTGAGCAGTGAGTCTAGAGTGGGGGGGGGGGGGGGGGACACAGCCAAGGTCACTCCAGACGACAGAATGAAATAAGCCTGTCACTCCATTTGCTCTGTGGCTAGCAGCTACAGGGACGACAATGCTTTTAATTTTGGACTTCCCTCGATTCTGCAGTCGTCCATCGGAGGGAGAAGAGGAGGGAGAAGAGGAGGGAGAGGAGGTGGGCTGGCTGTGTGCCCACAGTGGCTGCAGCCCGAGAGCCTTTCCACAACTGGAGAGGAAGAGGAGGGG